TATGAACTCGCACGGCCATTCTTCACAATCTTGCTAATATTTGATGAAGCAAATAGGGCATTCTTCACAAACTTGCTGATGTTGGATGAAGCCCAAAGGATTTGGCGCAGTGTTCAAGGAAATAACCACAAGCTTACGCTTTATATTGGTCTAAGTATTTTGCCTCAGGAGTAAGCAAAACTGTTTTTACATTTAACGTGAGTAAATTAGTTGCCGTTTATCAAACCTCAGAGCAATTACTCCAACAGGCTAGGAAGGAAATCTTCCATAAAACTTGCATTGTGTGTGCTGTTTCAGGATGAGCCGTGTTGCTCTAGTCAATGCGATCCGGTATAAAGGAACTGGAAATCAACACGCCGGGCTCTTGCGATGGGCGTACCGAATTTCACCCGACGCTGTTATTTGTACCTGCACACGGCATATTTCGTCCTCATGTCAAATACTCTATCCAGGCCTAGAATCCTTTATTGAATCAAGAAGATAGTGCGATAGAGGAGCCTCAACGTGGCGCATACAAAATGGTCTATGGATATGCGATCCTCCATAACAGCCAAGGTTGCAAATTTCAAGATATACTGCAATTAGTATTTCCGAATACGAGGCGACCTGCAAATGACCCATTTGATTCCCCATGATGCGAACCACATATACCAACCACTACTTCAACCAAACACTAAAAACTACAGATATCCCAGCTTCAAACTAGCAAAAGATACAGTTGTGTGTATAATCGCTGAATTTTTGATATTTTGTTTGTATCTCCTACGGATAACTCTCCGTGAATTGTTCACCCATGCACTGTTCGATGACGCACCAAACTAATTGAAAGTTCATACATCAAGCTGCATTTGCCTTCTAATCGTGGCAGATACCTTGTTTTCATTAGCTAATGTCTCTTGATGCAATTAAACTAAACCGACTGCCGGTGTAATGTTTACTATGACACGTCACTGTTTCCATAGAACAAGTATTGTATTTGTAATATTTTTCCGGTAGCCTTATATTACCACACAATATTCATGTAAATGAGCTTTTCCGGTAGAAATATGTTCATCGCTCAATGATATATTGCTTTCCAATTCAGTCTTGGATGTGACTCAAAAATATGTAGGTGCTAATTTCTGATAAATCAGGGTAGCAACAAAGGATCATTTGCCACTTATAATCGCCTCTATGTTTAGCTACATCGAAACCTGTTGAAAGCGATCTAAAAACGTTCAGTGCTTACGTATGGGTCACACATTGTTGCAGTTTGTTTCGAAAACACGAGATTTTGTTCAGTTTTCCTACTTTTAGATGCGTGCAGCCCCAGTCTTACCCAAGCTGATGCTTGAACACACTAAGTGGAACAACAGTGTTCTGCCTACTATCCTACATACCCAACTCGATTAGCGTCAATAACTCGCATTTCAAATAGTGATATGTGAAGCAGTTTGTACCTGTATGACCTACTTTGACTAAGTTATCTCATACTAGATAATGCAAATCTGCCACAGCCATTGGGCCACTCACAAACATGAGGTTTTGCGAACCTGTTGTTGACGACTATCTCACTGTTGAATCCTATTTAGCAGTTAGGTTATTCGTTTCAGCACCAGGGTTGGGGTAGATGGATGATACACGCGCTAATATGGAGAGGGGTTTGATAGACTAGGCGATGACCTGTATCCAGCTTGCATATGTATGCACAAATTTAAGGCATGGTGTGCATCGATCAGGCTACGTTGGGCGACAAAACCAAACCTAACGCTGACATGAGCTAGCTTCACACCAAACTTTATTAATGGGCTGAAGCAAACTATTCGCTAGCTTGTTTCGGCTGCAGACCGCAGAGATGGTTACAGTCTCTCCTTCAGCAGACAAATAATTTGCTAAAAGCACAGGAGCAATGCTTCACCCGCGTGGATTTACACATCGAATTTGGCTGCAGTGTGATTCGAACCGCATTTCGAAGCTTTTGTGCATACTGAACGAAATTCACAGCACCGAACCAAATGCGTCTGTGCATCGTGCCCCGTGATGCGACGTGAAAGGGTAAGGCCAAGTGAGACCAGAGCATAAACGGTGTGCGGGCGTATGGCATATGCGAGCTGTTAGCATGCAACGAAACCAGGACAGTTTTAAAACATCCAGAGAGCCGACGCAATGCCAGGTTAACAGCCACATGCTGACAGAGAGTAATCTACATATTAACCGGAAATGGCCATAAGCTAGTGTTGGCGGTTGAACAAATTGACTTCTGGCAGCCCACCTCGCAATGGTCGGAACAAACTCAAAAGATATCTGAAGCTGAAAATACTCTTTCAAATTCCGAACTTACAACTTTATAAATGTCAAAGCACAACGAATTCTAACTACACTAAATGAGCTAGGTACTCGTCAGGTCCAATCCTTGGCACATGGCCATGATACCGAAGCACGGCTAAATACAGAATCACTGATGATGTGATAGATCTAGCTTACATAATCCCCGTAGGCTTCAATCAACCCAACAAAAGGAGGAAAATTGCTGTATTACCGGTATGACATGCACTTTGATATTATCGACAAGCCATTAACACAAGCTGTCAATACTATTTGGTCCTGTCAGCACTTGCAAACTGATGTGTGTTTACAAGTGACAGTATACCACCCTCAATGTCCACTACAGAAATGCATCCCTGCCTATATTCTGCCATGAAACGTGTCGCGACACGGTCATACAGACTGGTTCTTCTGACATCGTGTACACCAACAAGGAACTAATGGTCGACACCGTAACGAAGAACGCACAGCTCATCCGTAGCGATCACACAACGCTACATCTTTACGGTTACATATCATTGAAAATAATGAGGAAAAACACGTTAGTACCCAGTACCGAATTCGGTTCGATTTCGTTCGAGAAACCAATTCTTTCTTCCTCCGGACGTAGGAAGTCTTTCAGAAATTTTGCGATATTTGTCATTCCGCAAATGTTAAACGACTATATAAGGCCACCAGTGATGTAAGCAATTTAATTCTGGGGTCTTTGGTGTAAGAAGGATGTTGATTCCTTTCAAGTTCCACAAATTAGAGCATCGAATTTCGCTGTGGTTTTGTTCCACTTGCCCCACCAACACACACTACAAGTCCTTGGATTGTACAACGGTGAATATTGCGTAAGCAAGAAGACCTCGTCATGGTTTATCTTACACAGACAAACGAAGATCACACCTATCGCGACTTGTTGCAAATCAGCCGGTATACAAACCTGAGAGTCCACCAGCTCAAACCGGCTACACACTGCAGTTGAATTGATTATGGGCAAAACTTTCTTACTTTCGGATATGGAACACTATCCAAAGACGCAATGGTTTATACAACATTAACACATTTCCACAAGCATTTGATAAGTTTTTCCAATTGCATTGCTCATTGTAGACCGTTTATACCAAATAACGAAATGGCAAAACAAACTACGTGCTCATCAGCCTTTCCGCAAAATGACGGTAAGTGTTTACCTGAATATTTGGTGATGCCGTTAAATACCGAATTTACAAATTTTCCATATGTGTTTCTTACATTTGGTTTCATAAAGCTCGCTCAGTTTTTCCTCCGCGACGCGCAGTTTAATTGCTAATGTGATCCTAAATTCATTGTTGATTAAATGCCAAAATCCACCTAGGCGGTGGGTACACCAAGACCCAAAAATTAATCGGGTACTCATTACTGATTCAGAACTGTACGCTTTCAGCAGCTTCCCCAGGTTGTGGCTCGGGGAATGCTTTCTATGCGGAGGTAACTGTGAATAAGCCCCAGTTGTCTTGTAGCGGAAATGAATAAGCGAAGGCGGACAATCAGTGGCAGCGTCTCAGAGCATTGGGATTTATGGGCTTGTCACCTGATTCTCCGTCAAACATCATAAGTGCACGTACGGCGCTGTGTCAAAGCCAGTGTGACCGGCTATAGGGTCACTGACCACTCACTTCTGTTGCAAGATGTGAGTATTTAACGAAGGACGGATGAAAAACTTTTTAGGCCACCAGCTTCTCGGTGGACTGTTATTAAACAAAAGGAAAACGAATGAGCTACCCGGATGTCAAGGGTCTCCGATAACTGTTCTGCTGCCTTACGCGTCAGGCCTTTATGAGGAGTGGAATAACAAGAATAACAAGAATAGCAAGAATACTACTTCGGACCTTTCGTCTACCTTGGCTTAATCTCTGGTTCTAAGACCCACAGAAATATAGAAGCAAATCTGGGTCAAGCTTTTGACTTTGATTTGTGGTAGCCGTCTGTTCAGGATTAATAATAAACTACATTTTGAAAATGTTGTGTTCCGTAGATTACCAGTCAATAAGTACTCCTCAGTGACTAAGGAAATTTGATGCCATCTGTCGGTGCTTTGAATACACACCGCCAAGTATCTCCAAAAAGCCCACAGATACGAAACTAGTTATGCGTAATCTATAATGTTTACCTCATTTCACAGCCTATCACGCTCCAGCTTCAAACTAAATGTCTCCATTTTTGATCACGACACTTTCGCTACGTATCGAAGTTTACCACATTAAACAAAGTAGAAAGTTCATTTCTCATCCTATTCAATACTGTCGACAAGCAGCTTTACTGCAAGTATTGGGTGAATTTCCTGAACTAAAATATATTTTGGTTTTTTTTCTCTCGGTATGTACTTCATAATTGCTGAAGGGAAGTTGATGAGTTCGATCCTCTACTGCATAAGGCTACACCTTTCAGGCACTGCGCTGGTGTGGCTTTTTGAGAGAGAAAACATGTTCTCCTATTTTTTACTCATGTGCACGTCAAAGTTGATTACGCTGCTGCGCCGGATTGTACCACGCACGTCATGACAGTTGTTGCAGTTCTGTGTGCTTCGTGATAGTGTGTCTCACCAAACCGTCTCGTTTTGTTGGTTAATGCTCCGAGTGTCTCCACCTTGTGGCATGCTGATTGGAGGACAGTCGACATATATTCCAAACACGGGAGCGATTCACAAGGCGGATGCAGCAAATGAAGTTGAACGAAATATGCTTTTTTATGTGCTGGATAGTTGCGTTCTCAGCTCGCCCTATCTTATGTCAAAGTAAGTACTGCAAGTTGGTATTTCCTGCACTGATTTTTAAATGGAACTATTTTATTCATTATGTTTCGTCCTTGGATACTGATTGGTGATAGCTGTTTGGAGGCAACAACAACAGATAGCTCAGTGTAGCTGCATCTGTCAATCAGACACGAATACCCGATGCGGTGCGCCCTATATATTTCAAATCAGCAGTGTTTGCCAAGGAATTTCTTAACTTTGGACACCGACATTGCCTCAACGACGTACTGTGGCCGGTCGTTCCATGCATTAACCTTTCTCCATTCATGACAGAGTTAGTGAACGACCATCTTCATTTCCGGTACGACAAGCTTTTACCGGTGTCCTCGTGTGATGCTTGGCGTGCGCAGATAATGCAGCGACCTCAGCATGGGGTAATCCCCCAGATATAATATCAGGTTTAACAAGATGTGGTCAGTCCGCAGTGGACGATAAGCTAGGGTGTAAAGACCTAGTTTCTTACTCCGGTCGTTGTACGGCACAATACGCGGGAGTGCCATACTCAAGCATTGGTCGTAGTATTGAAACGAAGAGGCGCGTACTACTCTCTTCGGACGAAGTGCTGAAGCTGCGACTGAGCGCCCGAAACGTAGGAATATTTCTTTTGGTAAAGCCTATCCTATTTGTATATGGACAGTACGTCGTAGCCTGTGGGTACACCGAAGTCTCGCAAAATCGGCGAAGAATGTAAGCGTTGACCTGCCACCGTGTAGCATAGACTGTGCTCACACTTACCAATCCTATAAATTGCGATTTGACTGGGTTGATCAGAAGGTAAATTTCTGCAGACCATGTCGAGAGGCGGTCGAGGTCTTGTTGAAGCAGGTCACGGTCATTGTGTGTGCTGATTAATATGCACACCTTAAAGTCATTTGCTAACATAGCACAAGGTGAATTGAGTAGATGAGGCTCATCGCATACATGGATCGGAAACAAAATTCGACCCAGTTCAGCGCCTTGGGGAACGCCACTGCTCGATGAAATCCAGTCGGTCAAATGGTTGTCGACCTGGACAATTCACTTCCGATCAATAAAGCGATTCTTGATCCATTGGTGCAGCGAGCCGCCAATAACGCACAACCTCAGCCAATCGTGCAGCACAGCATCATTCAGCTTGTAAAAGCCTTACGGAAGTGGATGTAAATGACGTGGACTGATTTGTCTTGGTTCAGCGCTCGTCACAAATCGTACCTCGTACCTCAGAAGCTTGCGTATATCTTCAATGCTGCAATCCAGAACGTCAAGTACAGCGGGAGCGGTACTCGTCCAACTCGTTACATAAAACTGGCCATTTACAAATACGGAAGCGAAGTGTGCCGCCAATGCGGATGCACGTTCTCTGCTCGAGGTTAGAGGCTGTCTATCTGAACCTTCCAACAAAGGCACATTGCCAGCAGGCGTCAGACGCCGCGTTCTGTAGACGAAGATTCTTTTGGGGACAGTTTCTGTGGCAATTGCAAGCTGCTGTACAAAGCTTCTACCCTTTTCGTTTTCGCGTGGTTGCAGAGCTTTCGCAAGTCAGAGCCAGATAACATGAATTTGTTCCATATTCTGCGCCGTCGGGCCAGTCTGCTGTGTTTCTTGTCGATCAAATATGGCTTGAATAGTCCAACTTTCCGGTACCTGAGGGGTAAAAATCGGGCGCACAACAATTTGACTCCCTGCTTTATTATAGTTTCTTTTCTTTCAACATAGAAATTCTCTTGTATCGACCAGTCTATCTGGTTCGCTGCTCTAGTAAGCCAGTTAATGTCCGCCTTGCAATAGTTTTAGGCTAGTTCATATCTGGTGGGAACACCGCGTGAGCAACGAGCGTGTTCTACGCCTTGTTAGGGCACAGGAAAGGGGAATGAACCGCTCAGTTCCGTTATTTCACGCAACAGGCTTCGATGGCTCTGTCACGAGTTACGTATGCCAGCTCACCGACTTCCGCGACGGGCGTTGTTTTCTCACAGGGGGGTGTGGATTGAAGAAGAGGAGAGGTGGCCAAACGATGAGCTGGTCGAGAGGAATGAAGGCCCACACTTCGGAGCCCGCCTCGGTTAAAGCTTCACGGCACTCTGGTTGGGGACCAAAAGACAATAAACACGTTTGGCAAGATTCACTTGCTGACATGGCTAGGAGCCGACCTCAATGGCGTTGCTGCTATGAGTTTCTTTGCCCAACCCCATCTGTTTTAGTCTCCGCTTCAAACACGATGTCATTTCATAGCGTAATGTAATTTTATATAGTAAATTTTCTTGTTGCCCTTAGCCGGCTGGTAGCTTTCCGGAATGATGCCAATCCGTTACTGGTAGCTCAGCAGGCATGCAAATGATGAATGTATTTGCTTTGTTCTTTTATGCTGTACGGCTCGGGAGCTGAGGTGATTTACACCTCTAGCCAACGTGTACAATATTGATCATGAGGCTGGCTCCATCACTGAGAATACGGCAGTGGCAATCCCAAGCTGGCTATGATCGTCGAGTGGCCACTCTCTCTCTCAAGGGATCCAAGACTTGAATCTGATGCACACGTTGCTCATAGCTGGTCAAAAGCAGTTCTAAGCACGATGGAGTCGCACGCGTAGTTATGCACCTCGGTTGCTTGATGTGCTATGTGTCCCCAGCTTCATATTTCAACTCCGCTAACTTCCTATCGACTTCACTATGGTCAGGGAGAAGTTCAGCCTCAGGCCACTGTATTCGGGTTAAGCTGAAATCGCCCATGAGTAGAAACAGCGTTCGAATCATGTGGTTGCGGACGTGCGACAACCAGCACACACAGCAAACTAGTGGACTACAATATACCACATCCACAAGTGTCTCGCAGAGTCTGAGGTAAATCGAAAACCATAACTGCTCGCATATATTTTCAGCGATTCGGTAGCTGCTCACTGGTCTCCCACACAAGGGAGACCTTATGTAAAGAAGAACCTTACCGCAATCATTTGACAGTCTGTTACAGCGAAAGCACGAGAAGCCACTGGTTTCCAGTTTTTGGGCTTTTGCATCGGAGTTTAACCATGCCTCAGCAAAGCCTAATATATCTGGACGCTGGGAGGTTAATATTAGCACAGCTCATTGCGTTTGTTCATCAGACTGCAAATTTTAGTTAAGGCTATGCTCATGCTGCAGTAGGAACCGCTGGGTTTGCCTGAAGCATCAGAAACCTGTTGATCCGGATTCACGGAAGAATCCAGTTGACTACCTGGAAAGTTATAATTCACCAATTTGTTTCTCCATCGTCTGTGCGTCGCTTTATTTCATTCATCGCAGACTTGATTTTCTCTCCGTCTGCTGGGTCTAAGTAAACGCGCACGTGGATCTTTAGGCCTCTTAGCCTACAAAAACGGGACGACATTAACCTAAGATTCGCCTCTTCAACCGAAGTCACTCTCATAAGTAGACATTTGACCTCGGTTCTCTTTCCGAGGCCAGTGTTCTGTTTCACTTTAAGGTCGCACTCATACACCTCGAGCAGTCTATCAATCGGATTGCAAAATATCGAGATCATGTTCAAAGAACACTTGGGAATTAGAATAACCAGATTCAGTTGCTTGAAAGATCATGAGGCTGCGGCGTCTCTGGTCGCTGGAGGTTGATATTCGTTTCTTTGATATTTGCAATTTCCATTCACCAACGTTTTCATTGCAAATTAGGGATTTAGTGTCAAATGAGGAATCTGTGGGCGTTGAAGTTGAGCTTGCCGGAGCTTTAACACTGATCCAGGGATAGATTCGCAGCAGTATTAGGTTTTGGCATTTTCTCTGCTTGTGGTGCAAGAAAATCGAGCTGCGCGCCTGTGCGCAATTTGCTCTACTTTTCGGCTTGTCAGGCACTTGATCTCTTTCTGCTCAATTTTGGACTGACATTGCTTACTACCAGTATCCTAAAGGTCGTGCAGAATGCTTGGTGTACGCGAAATATGTCTACACACGGACCAATATAGAAATATGAGACTTTACGCTGCATAAACTGCAAGTAATTGCATTTGTGCGATGTCCAACGGCTTTGGATCAACTACCACAAAGTGACTGCGCTGCCATTTCAAAATTAAGCACCAATCCATACGAGTAAATAAACGTAATGTAGGATCACAGAAAGTGCAATGAACTGGCACACGTAAATTTGATGAGGTACATCCAAATCACCGATGTACATGAAGTACACAAATGTTTATGGGATTAAACCATTTTCTCCATGTAAAGTACCTGGTAAACTGACCTGAGGAGGATACGGGCAAAATACGACCAGGATGGCGCTATCCGCTATCGTTTACCGTAAACAAATTTCTCTTATAAACAGCTCATTACGGATGATCGACGTAGTACTGCACCAGTGAGCCCATACACTTAGGAAGTTTATATTAATTGTCACCAAACGTAGAGAGGATACGGTCTTAAATACTAGGGTAACATTCAGTCAGCATTCAATTCACTGAACCTCCAATTAGGTTACACGTACCAATAGCATTAAGCACGACGTGGGAACTAAATAAAACATTCAGATCCAGCTCATTCGATTATTGAGGTGTGTTAGATAAGAACAAATGGAGTAACACCGTATGGCCACCTACTGGCTCTGTAACAGCTGAATACCAGGAAACGGTCTAATATCAGAGTTTGTGTTTCGTAACGCACTTAAGCATACAAGTGAATTTACAGCCATTGCACTCAAGGAAACTTTTTTGTCCCTAGGACTCCATATAGTAGACAGGTTAGGAATAAGCAAAATATATATGTACGGATGCACAAGGTAGATGAAGATTTTCTGTCTTCACTTCGAAAACAATATACAATGTTCTGAGTTTGCGATTTGTCAACGGAAGTTTGGAAAAGCAGCTGGCAGACCAGTGATTCTGAAGTAACTTATTTCATTACTAAGGTCCGATGACTGGTGTAAGTTCGTGTTTACACGCATGTAGCTGTACTTGCTATCTGCGAAATATTTGACACGACTGCAGAGTTAAATTATTCAATAGACAAGTCGATCCACTTGATTGTGGTAGCACATCACTGCGCAATTTGACGGACGAGCGCTTTTTGACAAATTCTTTCGCCCTTTACTACATGTCGTGAATATAGCATGAATCTGATTCGTAGTTCTCTTAGCAAATCCAACATAATTGTCAACTATTTACAGTAATTGATATACATATTTTTCGTGTATGCCAACCTACCGATTTCACAACTTTTCTACTATCGCACACTCAGTGGTTGGCGATCTAGTGGTGAATTTGCTCTGTAGCATTTGTTAATAATGTTTAAGTGCATTTTACCTTGATTTTTCAGGTGTTCGCAATGCGACATGTAGCAAGAATTTCACGTCGCAGGACTCCGGCAGCTTTGAGATTCCCGATAGTTTGGAGAGTTATGGAGATCACATATTTTGTAACTATGCTATCAAGGTATCGCACGGAGGCAGGATCAACATCACATTACAAGAAGTGCATGTACGTCTCCACAGCGATTGCCCTTAAAAAATCTGTATAATCATGTTGATGTGATGTTACGTAAAAGCAGCGTTTTATCATGCATCATTTTCAAAGATAAGTCTACTCCACCTATGAATGCATTTCCAATATATTTATTGTGTTGGCTATCTGATATCACGCTTATCAACATTGAACTTTGGTCTGCATCTGAGTACTGATTTACTCATCACAGATGACAATGGCAGCGGAGATTCTCGAATACGTTGTTATATTCGATGGCCCTGACTGCACATACAAAAGAATTGGTGTGATTTTTGCGGGACACACGCTGGCAGTTGTTTCAAGCAGTAACGAACTGACAGCTCTTTTCATATCAGATCAAACAGATGGAATGAGAAGATTCAAAGAAGAATATAATTTGTGTGAGTATTGTGTTCATTACAAGATGGGATACTGCGTTGCTGTAAAATTAATTGTCGCAAATTAATGTAATATCCACCAGAGGTAATGGTTGGCTTAACTACGTCGGCAATTTCGGTATTCGAAGTTAGTTTAACGATGAAGCAATCCAGCAATTATTTGATGGCGCATAAAGTTTATTACCAAAGCAAAGTAAGTGAAAAATACAAAGGCAACTATTCGGAATTAGTTGGAATTATGAGCTGTTATTAACAACTTGCTTATTCTTATCCGGCAGACGCAGATATATTGGTTTTGAAACGGATACAAATCGTTTGCTTACCTTAAGTAAACAGTGCATACAATTTTGCCTGGCTTGTGAGGACACAAGTTTTAAAGAAGCATCCTGCCATTGCACAAAACGTGGACGGATTATGCCCCCTAGCAACACTGGGATCCAAGAAAATGTGGTTAGATACTCTGTAAACACCTTTAACAAATCAGACAGGATCTTTTAAATATCATTGTCCAAAGTCTCGGTAACATACGTGCCCTGTATGCCTTATACGCCGTCTCTCTG